CTGACACCTAAATTGGTTACAAGTGCATTTTTCTGGTCTTCTGTTTTGCTTTGTTTAGGATGTTTTAGTACACAAACTTTCCCTCCTCTGATTCCTGTTTTGTCAAAATGGTGGTCTGCCTTAGCTACCTCAAGTGAATTCTGTATCCTTTTGACATGACCCATTAATATTATAAAACTTTTTTGCTTTCTGGCACAACAGTCCAAGGCACATCTGTACCTTCCCTGCTCCAGATCATGATTCAGACCTTTGTTCTAGTATCCCTGGTTCATTACCTTTTTTTTTTTTTATACAACCTGGGCAATAGTCATGGTTATGATTTTTTGTTTCATGAGAGGTGAATTTTTGAAAATTTTTTCTCTTTCCAGCAAATTCATTGAAAAAAAATTTATTGGCTTTTGGGGTTTGTTTTGAATATCTGTTTACCTAGAAATTATTCTACATTTTCAACTTCATTGGCATAGGAGTCCTGTAACATTTTTTAAAAATACCTCCTTTGATGGTTCATTATATTTCTATCTCATTCTGATTGTTTATTTCTCCCCTTACACCTTTTCTTCAGGTCAGTTTGTTCTGTTCTGTTTTCTTAAGTGAGATGTATATATTTGGAAATAACCAATGAACACTCATATATCATTCTTTCATTTTTGTAATACAAGCATTTAAGTCTTTACTTTTTATGAGACTAATATAGCTGAGTTCCATAGATTTTAACTGGTAATGTTTTCAGCATCAAGATTCTTTGGAAAATTTGTGATTTCAATTACATTTCCATATTGACTTAACAGTTATTTAGTAGAGATAGTCTTCATTCTAAGTCTTCATTTCTAAATGGAAGTGCTTTTGATTTACTGATACCAATACTCAAATCTGGTTTCAGTGTGATGCTTGCATTATTTCACCTTTGTTACACATAACATAATTCAGTCACGGGAAATTTTTCTTGCCCCTTATCATGCAATGTGTATCTGTCACTTTGAATTTTCCTCAGGCTATTACCTTATCTCATTGCCAACCTCCATTCAATGTCCAAAAAATCCTTTGATACAAAGTGCATTACACTCTTCCCCATATATACCACCTTCTCTGTTTCATTCCATTCTGTTAGCATATTCTCCTTTCAGCTACAAGACTTTGTTCCAAATTACATAAGTCTAACAAAATGGTATATAACAATTTTAATATCTAAAATATTGTGATAGTTTTCTGGGGAAGTATAGCAGTGGTGGACTTTGGGTATAAGGAAATGGAAAGGAATATATAGGTAAGAGCATAAAGAAAAAAAGACTGATATTTCAGTAAGGATAAGTGAATAATGGTAAAAATACTTATAAAGAGAGAAATAAAACATCCCATCTTAATTGATATGTGAGATGAAGAAAAGCAGTTGTGGCTCTGCATAGGAGGGAATAAGCAACAATGGTGAAGACAATATATGTAAGCGGAGAAGCAATTGGAAAACAATCACTTATAGGCACCATATATATATGTATCTTACTGTATTGCAATTATATATATAATCACTGTATATGGTGTGAGGGTTGGGAAGCATGTATAACTTACATTATTCTTATAATTACATAATTATTTTTATAATGTATTGTTTTTGAATGACTTATCTTCATATGTATACTTTTATTCTTATTTAGATTCCTTTCATTCAGTGATTTACTTTTCTTGTAATTAATTATCATATAATATATGATATTTGGGGCTTGCTATTCATTGGCCCATTAAAAAATTTTTGCATTTGGCCTGTGGTGTTTAGGGAATAATGAAATAAATGGTATAACAAAGAAAATTATTACATTACACAACTGAAAAATGGATATGAGGACAAGGAACTAGATATTGGAATAGAGACAGAAATATGAAATTACTTACTTAGGGTCAGTTAATACACCCTTTCTTAGGTAGTTAACTTTTAGACCTGAATAATAAAAAAAATTATTACATTACACAACTGAAAAATGGATATGAGGACAAGGAACTAGATATTGGAATAGAGACAGAAATATGAAATTACTTAGGGTCAGTTAATACACCCTTTCTTAGGTAGTTAACTTTTAGACCTGAATAATAAAAAGGAGCAGGCCTACAAAGAGCCCATTTGTGAGAGATGAAACTTCCTATGGATAGCTCTAAATAATGGAAATTGTTCTGATCTAGGAGGTGAAAAAAATTAGGAAAAAGGGGACAATAGATTTAAATGAGGACTTATAAGCAGCCCTTTATTATCCATGGGAAAGTGTTAGGATTTATTCTGGGAAAAAGGAAAAATCATCACAAAATTATTAGTATTTATGTATTATCAGTATCTGTACAAGATATTAATGACCAGTTCTACATCTATAGATTTTGGTTCAGTTTATCTTGATTGATTCTTGAACATCAGTGCTTACCAATAAGCTTACCAGGTGATGATCAACAGTAAAGTTCAGATCCAGTGACTTAGTCTATTGCCCATATCACAAACCTTACATTCTTATGCAGTCATCATTCTCTGAGCTCTCATCTTTCTCCAAATTTCATAACAGTATTTTAACCATTTACTTATATTGTGAATTATTTTCAGTTTTTCTCCTCTGCTTTCTATAACTGTTTTATTTTTGTGACACAAGAAAAAAATTTTTTTTTCTTTCTTTCAGATTTGGAGGCCAGGTATGAGACAATGAGTTTATCTATAGGAAAGGACATTACTGAAAACAATCGTTCTCAGTGGGAGGTAATAGAAAGTAGAAAATTTGTTGGCCTTGAAAACTCCATTTTCAGAAATGATTGGCAAAGCAAAAGCAATATTGAAGTACAAGGACCTGAAGTAGGATATTTCAGTCAAATGAAAATCATCTCTGAAAAAGTACCCAATTATAAAAATCATAAATCTCTTACATTATCTCAGAGAATTCATGACAGTAAGAAGCCCTATGCATATAAGGAATACGGGAAGGGCTTCATCTGTGAGCCAAACTTCGAAGAATATCAGAGAACACATATTTGTGAGAGAACCTATGAATGTAAGGAATGTTGGAAAACCTTTGGGATAGATAACTCACATACACTACAACTGAATATTCATACTGGTGTGAAGCCTTGTAAATATATGGAATATGGGAATACATTTAGTTTTTATGAAGACCTTAGTGTTCCCCAGAAAATTCATAATGATGAAACATTCTATAAATGTAAGGAATACAAAAGGACCTATGGAAGAGCTGGAGAAATTACTCCACTTCAAAGAATTCATGATGGTGAGAAACCTTATGAATGCACATTTTGTGGGAAATCCTTTAGAGTGCATGTGCAACTGACTCGACATCAGAAAATCCATACTGATGAGAAATCTTACAAATGTATGGAATGTGGGAAGGACTTTAGATTTCATTCACAGCTTACTGAACACCAGAGAATTCACACTGGTGAAAAACCCTACAAATGTATACACTGTGAGAAGGTTTTTAGAATTAGTTCACAGCTCATTGAACATCAGAGAATTCATACTGGTGAGAAACCTTATGCATGTAAAGAATGTGGTAAGGCTTTTGGAGTCTGCAGAGAACTTGCTCGACACCAGAGAATTCATACTGGTAAGAAACCCTATGAATGCAAGGTATGTGGAAAGGTCTTTAGAAATAGTTCATCTCTGACTAGACATCAGAGAATTCATACTGGTGAAAAACCCTACAAATGTAAGGAATGTGAGAAAGCTTTTGGAGTAGGTAGTGAACTTACTCGACACCAGAGAATTCACAGTGGTCAAAAACCTTATGAATGCAAGGAGTGTGGTAAGTTCTTTAGACTCACTTCAGCCCTTATCCAACATCAAAGAATTCATAGTGGTGAAAAACCCTATGAATGTAAAGTATGTGGTAAGGCCTTTAGACACAGTTCAGCCCTTACTGAACATCAGAGAATTCATACTGGAGAGAAACCATATGAATGCAAGGCATGTGGGAAGGCTTTTAGGCATAGTTCGTCCTTTACAAAACATCAGAGAATTCATACCGGTGAGAAACCTTATGAATGTAAGGAATGTGGGAATGCCTTTAGTGTGGTTAGGCATCTTACTTGACATCAGAAAATTTATACAGGTGAGAAGTCAGTTGAAAGAAATGAGTGTAAATGTACTTTTTCTGATTTTCATTGTAAAAAGCTATAGATTTAGTGAGAAATAATCAAAGGATTTCTACCTCTCTCTCTCTCTCTTTTAAAATGTTTCCAGACTTTATGGCCACTCTGTATTTAGAAGTAGAATTGCTCAGTTATAGGTGATATATACTAATGGCTTTGTTAGATATTGCCAAATATTTCTCCTTTTTAAAATCAATTAACATTTTTATTATACACTGACATAGGATAGTCCCTATCAGTCCATTTCTCAAATGTGTTAAATATGTGTTTCCCTAATTTGCAGTGAATTGAGTTCTTGTCATATGAGTTTCTTATCCAGGCATTTTTTGTTTACAGTAACTTTTGGTTTTGTGTTTTTGCTCTTGTCTATAGTTTTCCTTTTTTCTTTTTTTTTAAATTTGTAATATTACTCCAATACCTTCTTGCATTCTGATTCTTTGCTTTTTATATATGCTGTACTTGTCTTTCTCCAGAGAGTTTCAGTGGTAAATGTGCAGTCTCTATTTTCACCAAACACCTGACTTATTTTTACATTTTCTATTTTGTTTTAACACAACAGAGTCCCCTAAATATATACCACAAACACTTTAAGGAGCCTTTTCATTTCCAGGCAGTACCAGCCAGGATCCAAATGAAAGGAACACTTTTAAATATTTGATAAAAACTACTAACCTAACCAGTCTATTACAATTTATCAGTCTCTTAAAGTTTTTAGCACCTTTAAAAGGAGAGAAATCTACAACTATTGTAGTGATAATGTCAGTTTGTGATCAGATTATAAAGAGGATTTACAATTATGTATTACCATGACCTCTATTGGTTTTTGTATCTACTCTTATTATATAATTTTTCTTTTTATTCCCTCTCAGGGTTGCCTTACTGGTTTTGGGCAATTCAACAAATAGTAGACTACCTTTGATTTTAGTAATCTCACCTGATACACCTAAGACTAAATATTAAATTTTAACATTTAGGAATCTCACCTCCAAAATCATCTCTCTTAGTCAGGACAGTTGAGCTAGTTATGCAAATCAATGAGATCATGAGCCACTAGTTATTATATTTTTATAAGAATTTAACTACTGTGTTTAGGTAAATTTATATCATCATCATCCATTAGATTTTCATTTTTAAAACTGGTGTTTTTCCCATAATTTATTTACACTTTAAAGTTTTGCATGATCACCAGTGGTAAGCCATTTTCTCATGGGACATATTGAGCTGTGTTTTCTGTAAGTATTCCTTTTTAGTATTTTACTTAAGTACTTTTTAAAAATATGTAATTGGTTGCTATTCTGTACCCTACACAGTAAGAGAATGACTCTCTGTTGTTAATCTTTTTACTAGGATGTTTGCTATTTCATATCTGTCAAATAGAATATAACACTCTATTTACTGAGCTATTATGTGCCCATCACTGCTGATTTAGTCTTGGATCCCACTCTTTTTGTTCTTTTACTACCATCAGTGCTGATTAATTTTCCTCTTCTTGTGTGTAGTCTACCTGTCTTACATTTCCTGTGTTTTTTTATTCTTTCCAGCTTAAACAAATTAAAACAATAAGCTATCTAAACCTTACATACAAAAACAAAATAACCATGTGTCTTGGCACTTAATTTTTGAAGTCATTAATGAATAAATGATAAATTAATGAATGAAACATATCCTTATTGTGTTTCTCTTATTTGTAATTATAGCTACATTTCAGTCACATTATATGTTACTTCAAACTTTGTTATTATCCCATGGCATCTCACCATGTGTTACTCCAATAAACTGTAATATAATTGTTAGTGGTGGTGTTAATTACTGTTCTCATTTTACTATTCTTTGGTACTCAGAAATATAAAATGTCAACATTACTTTCCATTTTCACTTGTCCCTTTGCTTTAAATGACCCCTCCAAAACTCACGTTGAGATTTAATTACCAATGTAATAATATCAGGAGGTGAAATCTTTAAGAAGTGATTAAGCCATGAGAACTCAACCCTCATCAATGGATTAATGCCATTATCCCAAGAATGATTTAGTTTTCCTGGGACAGTGTTAGTTATTGTGGAGTGGATTTCTGATAAAAAGAATGAGTTCCAGACCCCATCCTCTTCCTGTCTCACACACTCTTTCTGCCTTCCTCTTTCTGCCATGGTATAATACAGCAGGAAGGCCCTCATCAGATGCTGATGCCGTATGAACCAGCAACTCCACTTCTGGGCATATATTCAAAAGCATTCAAAACAGTCTGAAAGAAATATTTGCACAGTCTGAAAAATATTTGCACACCCATATTCATAGCAACATTATTCACAATAGCAAAGAAATCAAAGCAACCCAAATGTCCATCAAGGGATGAATGGTGAATAAATTGTATATACAATGAAGTATTATTCAGCCACACACTGGAATAAAGTACTGATGCGTGCTGTAACATGGATGAACCTTTAATACATTAAATGAAAAAGTCAATCACAAAAATCAAAAATCACATATTGTATATCATTTATATGGAATATCCAGAATTTAGAGAATGTACTAAAAGCTATAAAATTATATACTTTAAGATGGTTAAAATGGTGAAGTTTATGTTTTGTGAATGCTATATCACTAAAAAATAAAGTGGAGAGACAACCCACAGGATAGAATATATTTGCAAATAATATATCTGATAAGGAGCTTGTATCCAGGATATATGAAGAACTCTTCCAGCTCAATAATAAAAAGATAAATAACCCAGTTGGAAAAGGGGCAAAGAATCTTTATAAATATTTCTCCAAAGATGAAAAGATACATAGAATCATTGTTCATTTGGGAAAGGCAAATCAAAACCACAAGGAGAGAACACTTATACCCAGTAGAATGGCTATACTGAAAAGGACATAATAACAAGTATTGGTGAATATGTGGAGAAATTTAAATCCCTGTACACTGCTGGTTGCAATGTAAAATGGTGCAACCACTTTGGAAAACAGTCTGACAGTTCTTCAAAAAGTTAAACATACAGTTACCATTTGACTCACAATTTCAGCCCCTGATGTATACCCAAGAGAAAGCAAAATATATTTCCACAGGCAAATTTGTACTGATGAAGGAAATAGTCAAAATGAAGCAGGTTTTCCAAAACTCACTGCCTTGGGATAAGTTTCATGAACTCGGTGTTGACATCTTGTTCTTAGGATAAAAAGTGCATGGGGTTAGAACTGCTGATTTATTGATTAATGCATAACCTGCTGGTTCTGATACTGTTAAGAACACTGAAGCATGAAGCTTCTGCTTCAAGTTGCATGTAGACACTTTTGGCTCCCATGTTGTAATCAGTTACCAATGACAGTGATTTTTGTATTCCCTGAGAAAAGGACAAGTGTAATTGGAGCTTTCCATGTCCGTTTTGAAACTCCCCTGTAAAATGCCTTTACTTGTAGCAGACTTTGGAGCACTTTCCTACTCTGTTGGTTAGTGTTTCCCAGGGTGATCCTCACATGTGGCTCCCGATAAACTTCTTTAAAAATGTTTTGCCTCAACGGTCTTAATTTCAGTTGACAAGATTGGCTACCCAGATGGGACCTGAGAGAGAACCGCATTCCCGACACTCAGGTTGGTACCACAAAAGGGCTCTTTGAGTCCACGAGTTCAGGGTTTCTGCTGAATGTTACTGGTTGAGCTCTCCTCAGATCCATGAACCTCCCACCTTTAGGCTGAGGTTCCAGTTTGTTGAAGCTGGCAACCTCTGTTTAGGAGGGTCTTTTACTGCTCTCAGAATGAGAGTTCCTGCCTTGAACAACAGGTAAGCCTTATTTGAGTTCATGGGCAGGGCAGAATTTGGTAGCTCCTAACTTATTTTCCTGACACTTCAGTAAGGCAACCTTTCCTTAGTCTCTCTAACTGCAAGAGGGCACTCTTGCTCCAAAAATAAGAGACACTTGGACCTTCCAGCCTTTCGGGAAAACCAAAACTTGATAGGTGGTGGGAAGGGGATGTTCTGCCCACAGCATGCAGCTGTCTCATAAGGAACCCCTACAATGTTAAAATTACTTGGCCAGGAGATGCGAATATAAGTTGATCACCCGTCACCTGCAAGTACCCTACTGCTTTGGCAGTGTGGGAGATTGAGATACATAAGGTTGACTGGCTCCTGATGAAATCCAGAGAAGCGATGCCCATAAGCAGCACATAGATCTACTACATTAGCTTGCCTTACTTGAAAGAGCCAAAATGAGAAATGAAACTAATACCACTGTTCAGGGTTCAATCACTATACTGGCCATCTGCCCCCTGCCAAAAAAAATATAAGAAAGAAGGAACTGAAGGAAACTATTTTAACATAATAAAGGCCATATTGAAAAGCCTACAGCTAACATCACATTCAATGTGAAAAATTGAGACCTTTTCTAGTAACATCAATAACAAAACAAGAATGCACATTCTTGCCACTTCTGTTCCACATTGTACTGGAAATACCAGCTACAGCAATTAGGCAAGAAAAAGAGATAAGAGACATTCAAATTGGAAAGGAAGAAGTAAAATGATTTGTCTTTGACATAATCTGTTATGTAGAAAATCCTAAAGATTCCTCTAAAAAAGTTAGAACTAATAAATGAATTCAGCAACATTGCAGGATACAATATCAATATACAAAAATCAGTTGTCTTTCTATACACTAACAATAAACAACCCCAAAAGAAAGAAAGGTAAAAATCTCATTTACAGTAGAATTAAAAAGAAAAAAATATTTGTGAACAAACTTAACCAAGGAAGCAAAAGATCTGCAAAATGCTGCTAAAAGAAAGTAAAGACACAAATAAGTCGAAAGACACTTAGTGCTCATGGAAGAATTAATATTTTTTAAATGTCCACACCACACAAAGCAATCTACAGGTCCAATTCAATCTCTATTAAAATCTCAATGACATTTTTTTTAAAAATGGAAAAAATAATCCTAAAATTCATACAGAACCACAAAGGACCCTGAATAGCCAAAACGACCTTGAGAAAAAATATCAAAGTTGGAGGCCTCACACATTCTGATTTCTAAACATATTAAAAAGCTACAGCATTCAAAACAGCTTGGTACTGGCATAAACTTAGACATCTGGACCAATGGATCAGAATAGAGAATTTAGAAATAAACTCATGCATTTATGGTCAAGTGCTCTTCAACAAGGGTGCCAAGACAATACAAGTAGGAAAGAATAATCTCTTCAACAAATGGTGCAGGGAAAACTAGATATCTACATGCAAAATAATAAGATTGGCCCCTTATCTCACACCATACACAAAAAACTCAAAATGGACTAAAGACTTAAAGTAAGACCTGAAACTATAAAACCCCTAGAAGAAGGCATAAGGGAAAAGCTTCATAATAATGGTCTCGACAATGATTTTATGGATTTGACACAGAAAGTACAGGCAACAAAAGCAAAAATACATCAAACTAAAACATTTCTTCACAGCAAAGGAAACAACAGAGTGAAGAAACAACCTGTAAAATGAGAGAAAACATTTGCAAACCATATCTGATGAGGGGTTAATATCCCAAAATTTATAAGAAACTTCTACAACTAAGTAGCAAAAAACAAAAAGCAATTTTAAAAATGGACAAAGGACTTGAATAGACATTTCTCCAAAGCAGACATAGAAATGGCCAACAGGTATTTGAAAAGATGCTCAACATCACTAACCATGAGGTAAATGCAAATCAAAACCACAACGAGGTATCACCTCACACCTGTTAGGATGATCATTATAAAACAAACAGAAAATATCAAGTGTTGGTAAGAATGTGGAGAATTGTGCATTGTTGGTGGGAATGTAAAATGGTGCAGCTGCTATCGAAGACAGTATGGCAGTTCCTCAAAAAAATAAAAACAGGATTACTGTATGATCCAGCAATATCACTTATGGGTATATAACCAAAGGATCTGAAAGCAGGGTTCTGAAAAGATGGGTACACACACATGCTCGTAGCAGCATATTCACAGTAGCCAAGAGGTACAAACAACCTAAATGTCCATAAGTAGATAAATGAATAAAGAAAATGTGGTATATATATATGATAAATTGTTGCCATAAAAAAGGAAATCCTGTCATATGCTACAATATAGATCATTTTGAGGACATTATGCTAAGTGACATAAGCCAGCCACAGAAGGGCAAATACTGCATGATTCTACTTATATGAGGTATCTAAAGAAATCAAATTCATAAAAACAAAAAGGAGAATGGTGGCTGCCTAGGGCTGGCTGGGTTGGGGAAGGAGGAAATGGAGAGTTGGTGTTTAATGGGTATAAAGTTTCAGTTATGCAAGATGAAAAAGTTCTAGAAATCTGATGCACAATATTGTGCTTATAGCTAATAATACTGTATTGTACACTTAAAAATTTGTTAATGGGCAGATCTCATGTTATGTGTTTTTTATCACAATAAAGAAAGATGACCACAAATAAATAACCTAACCTTCAACTTAAAAGAACTAGAAAAAGGAGCAAACTAAACCCAAAGGCAGCAGAAGAACTTGAAGTAATAAAGACTAGAATGGAGATAGACGTAATAAAGAATAATAATAATTTTAAAAACTAAAGTAGATTCTTTGAAAAGATCAACAAAATTGATAAATCTTCATCTGGACTGACTAAGAAAGAAGGAGAAAAGACCTAAAATACTAAAATCAGGAATGAAAGTGAGAACATTACTACCAATCTTACAGAAATAGATTTTAAGAGAATAATATGAAAAATTGTTCATAAAAAAATTAGATAACCTAGACAAAATGAACAAATGCAGAGAAACATACAAATGACC